TCATTTATTGTCAGTCCATCTGCCCGTTTGTATATCCATCTTTCTATTGAGCTATGCCCCTAGGAGAGCCTTAGGGCTTTCATATAAGAGTACGTATTGTGTTAATGTTTTCAATGAGAACTCTGGAAATGTTTGGAAATCATCACACAAATACAGCGTCATTGTTTGTAGCTATGCTGTCTTGAGACCTCTTTAAAAAGTTTCAGAGTATGACTGCTTCCTCAGCACAGATTTTTTTTCTCCAAGTGAATTTAGCTATCAGAGAAATCTTATCTCTGACTCAAGTCACACTGCTTTGAAGATGATGTAGCCAACCAAAAATTGATTTTCCTTTCATATATTAAATATTCTCCTTTTGGTTTTCCTGGCTATGTGGTGCTGGGGAAATGAGGCTTTTGGTGATCTAATTACTTCAAAGATGATTTACCCTCAAAGGTACTCAGATAAATTCAAAAGCTGAAAGATTCACAGGGCTGGAACAGTGGAATAGCACACTAATCTTCTTCCTGCAGCAGTGGCATCTTGTGTGGGTACCAGTTCATGTCCCAACTGCTATTCTAATCCAGCTCTCTGCTTATGGGCTTATGGCTTGGTTAATCAGTGAAAGTTGGCCCAAGTCCTTGAGATCCTTCACCCATGTGGGGGACCTGAAAGAAGTTCCTGGCAGTCAGTTTCAGATCAGTTTATCTATGGCTGTTGCAGGAATTTGGGGAAGGAACCAGCAGGTAGAAGAGTCCTCTTCGAGTGTAAAACAAAATGAAGAAAATAAAACTGATGGGTGCTAAAGAAAATGTAATTTAAATTAGCGAAATTCCTGTGTGTATGTGTGTATGTGCAGTCAGTTTTTCTTCCTTTAATGGGCTCTGGGAATTTTATAATACTTACTTCTTAAATTTCAGAGGCAGAGACAATGTGAGAGACAGAGTGCAGCCAAGCTCACATCCACTTGTTTATCTCTCACTTGTGCTCTTAGAAGCAAGGTTCTTTGCTCACAGCACAATATGCACAGTTGTGGGGGTTTGAGGGCCAATCTCTGTGTCTTCTCACTTCTATGATGCACTTTTATCTTTCTCACAAACTTGAGTGTCAACAACTTTATGAATATCCTACCCCAGTACTTATGTAACATTGAACTCCTGTAAAGATCAGTAGGAACCGATTGTATTCGTTCCCTGTTCTCATTTGTATTTTCCTTGCCTTCTAATTCCCTTTCTTATTTTGAATTTTGATAAGGTAAGATGAAGTTCAGTGCCCTTCAACTCTGTCATGATATTTTGGCTTCAATATATGGAACGTCCATGCTTTGTTGGTTGCCTTTGAAAGTACAAATCATAGGTTGATGGTACCATGTTGAACTCGGCACATTCTGGGTGACTGAATATTGTATAACAACAGGGAGTTGTATGTTTGATGAAGGGGGAGACTCATGAGCTAATAGCTTCCATCTGCTCGCTTGGGGGACAATGTTATGACAGGAGCTTGGGAAGGTTTCGGAGAAACTTAGGGAGAAAGGTGAGATTGAAAATGAGCTGAATGGGAAGTGGAGCAGCTGGGACATGAATCAGCACCCATATAGGGTATAGCACTTGGAGGTGGAGGATTAGCAAATTGAACCAAAATGCTAGCCCTCTAGTTCTAATTTTATTTTTAAGTCATACTTGTATAAAGAGGGACAGAGATATCATCTATCTGTTGGTTTACTTCCCCAAATAACTGCAATGGCCAGAGCTATGTTTTTCCAAAGCTAGGAGCTTCTTCTAGCTCTCCCATGTAGGTGCAGGAGCCCAACATGAACCTTCATGTGGGATGGTGAGATCATAAGAGCGTTAGCCTTCTGCACCGCAACACTTTTTGAGAAAGACATAATTAAATTGTGACTTATTTGAACAAGCTGTTATTTAAAAAACAGAATCTTCAGAGCTGCTAACATCCCATCGTGTGGATGCACATTAATGTCATCATTTATATCAGATCAAGGCTAATTTCCAGAAGGAAGAAATTGGAAAGACTATGCATATAATCGTATCCAGAAAAGATAACTATGAGAATAAGCAAAGTCAGCCTCTGAGTTGACCCTGAACTCTGAAATAGGCAGGATTGCAAATGCACATAGGATCATGTGGTAACTAAGATATAGCATAAAAAATTTCACACAGTGAGATTTGATTTTTTTTTATAGCCCTTGTCTACTCTGGAATAAGTGATTTTTCTACTGACCCTACTTGTTCTTCGGTTAGTAAACTGAAGGCATGTAATTGTAAGACTTAAAAATAAGGAAGGGGAAATGATGGAAGATAAGGTGGATAGCATCACTATATTCTTAAAACTGTTTATGGAAACAAAATCAATTCTCTTACATGAATAAAACTAAACAGGATTATGGGATACAGACGGTCTTGTGACATGCCATTTCTAATTCTGTTAGACATTATTTCATGTGATTCCGTTGCTTTGTAAGGCAACTTCCACACACCTGAGTTTTCTTCTGTTACTGATTCTGTAATACTTTAAATCAATCACATTCATTGCATGTGTATATGGTTTGTATCTTTTAAATTGTGATGTGTGCACAGAACTGGAGAAAATGTTCAAGCCATGATTATTACTTTAGAATTAATATCTAGAAATAGCATCACAGTGTCAAATATGTTTATTTTAGGAATTTTTTTTGTATACACTGTTCTGCCTAGCTATAATCTAAAATGTTGACTGCCAGTATATATTCCCATGTGGCATGCAGGGAGTGTGTTTTCTACACATATACCCAGGACAAAAGTACTCTCACTGTGTAAATAATAATGGTTTGATTTCTTTCTCCCATGCTTGCTTATGTGTGTGAACCTGTGTGTAGGACTGTCCATGTATAATAATTTTTGCAGAATCTAGCTAGTTATTGTATGAACACGTGTATCTGATATGTCCACTTCTGAGTGTAGCTCTCTTTACCGTCCAGGTACCTGCATCAACATCCCGCACACTCAGTGCCAGATGCTGCCCTACCAAACCACACCTGTGTTCTCAATCATCAAGCACATGGACCCGGAGAAGTTCCTCAAGTTCTTTGCGTACCTCCATCGCCTCAGTTGCTATCAGCATATCATGTTGTTTGGCTGTAACCTCGCCTTCCCCGAGTGCATCATTGATGGTGATGACAGGTATCGTAGAACAAAACCCCTGGTGTGATGCTAGACCCTTAAAGCTGACCTGTTTGAGGTGCACAAAACATCCTAAGCTACTGTCTTTGATTTTTGCTGTTGTTATTAAAGGAGAAGGATACCTCTTGTTAGTCATCTCTAGTAGTAATGTTAGGAAACTAGGAATGATTTGCAAGCTTGGAATAATTTTGTCTATGGAAAATAACTGTTCAGTATGTTAGATGGGTTCTCTTGGAGAGATGTTCGCTTGCTGTTCCGGGTGAGAGGAACACTGTTAGGGTGTGTTTCCTTATCACTTTAATGGGGTGATTGAAGGAGTTCATTGAAGAGACTCTTACAGAAGGGAACAAATTAGTGATGGAAAGAACAAGGGTCTCGTGTTAGGGGATGTTCAATTGACCAAGGTTTGAATGGCCAAAGGGTCCAGCGGCACCTAGAGAGAGTTTAGGTCTAGACCAGGACTCTGACTCAGCCAGCTGCTCCACCTCAGAGTGGAGCCCAGTCACTGCCAGCTCCTCAGGCCTGCAGAGGGAGAAGGGAAAGAACGAATGCTTTGACTTCACTGTCCTTCCTGTCTCCTCACTGCCAGGGCCTCCCACCAACTAAATTTGCCCATCACCAGACAATGAGTATGTGAGATTGAGAGGAGTACAAGGGATGCGACCCAAAATACCTAGATATTCTCAGCTCAAAAGCTCCAAATTTTATTATCTAGATCAATTATGGATGAGATTCTGGATGGTTGTTCTGGTGAATGCTGGAACCTAGAGCAGGCTGAGATAGAGTGGATAGGGAGGGACAAATAGCCTAGTCAGCATATCAAATAGGGAACTAGTCCATCAGGAGTATATTAAGGAAGAGTCTCAACAAATATACATTACATTTCAAAGCATGTGTTAAATTCATACTCACAGAGCATCAATTACTTTCTGAATTAGCATATTGGGAGGTTCTTAGATGTAATTGTTCCCAATCTTAATATTCTAAGTGCAAATAGGTTCCATATTAATTGTACTAATTTAATTAGTGTGTAAAATAATGCATGGAATAGGGCAAAGATGTTTGTTATTGTAACTGGGGGAAAGCTTGCATTGCCATTGCTTCTATATAGATAAAAAATAGCTTCTTCCTTGTAGAAATGCAGTTTACTGTCCACAGCTGCAGCCTGGGTGTAAATGTTTCACAGTGCAGGGCTAGCTTCCCAGGGTGCCTTCAGGGTAGAAAGGTGGGGAAATCCTGCCAGGGCTTTCCCATTGTTAAAATATGGGCTGTCAACAAAGACGCCCTTGGTGTTCCTAGATGGTGGCAGGGTAATATGGTGGTTGGATGGTTCCCTAGGGCTGCTGTCACATCTTGCTGCAGGCTGGGTGGTTTCAAAAGCAGAAGTTTATTCTCTAACAGTTCTGGAGGCGAGAAGCTTGGCATCCCCAGGCTCTCAATCAGGGCTCTGGGGGAGGATTAATTTCTTTTTGCCAGCTTCTGGTGGTCTCATTCATTACTTGTCTTGTGGCCACATGACTTTAGTCTCTGCCTTCCTTTTCACACGTCGTCTCTTCTGAGTCTCTGACTCTTATTTCTCTTGCAAGGACAAATGCTATAGCATTGAGGCCACACTAGAAAATCTGGGGTCACATTTTTCATTTCTAGATTTTTAGATGCATTTGCAATATCCTATCTCCAAATAAGGTACTGTTGATTGTTCCCAAGGGTTAGGACTGGACCCATCTTTTTCACTCTCCAACACAACAGCGTTTGGGAGGACAGCCTGATGGAGCTGCATGGCAGCCCTTCCTCTGTAAGCTGGCAACAATATTTGTATTTAGTTTACAAAGTTAACATGATGGTGCTCATTTAGGAAGCACATACTAAAATTGGAATGATACAGAGAAGGTTAGCATGGCCCCTGTGCAAGGATGACAAAGTTAATATGATGGCTAGTTGATATAACTTAGGATAATGCCTGGCTCTTCACAACATACTCAAATTTTAGCAATTATAAGGAATTGAAGATAGATAGTATTAAATGGCCACAAAGATGTTTATAACATATGCTAAATATTCTGTTTGATTGTAAGGTATGAATTTATTTAGGTCACCTGAAGCTCCTTAAGCTGGATTCTGATTCCATTTCTGCCTAATCTTGAACAAGTTCCACATCTCCTTTGCTTTCATTTCTTATGAATGTGTTTATGTATATATAAAAATAAGACAAACAGTACAATCACCTTCAAGGAATCTAAGTTCATTTGGACTGTTGTCCTAATTATTCAATCTCTACTTGAACAGTCAATTGTAAAATATTAAATTCCTCTATAAAAATGCACTTAAGTTGTTGTTGGTTTTCTGTGTGCTTTTAGGTAAAACTTTTGTTTCCTTGACTTGATTCATCTTGATAAGTGTAGTACTATGAGCTTTTCCGTTTCTCTTACAATTCTTACAATGATTAATAGCATGTAGTCAAGAACACAAAATACTTCATTGGGACCATATCCTTTTTTTTTTTTTTTTTTTTACTCATTGCAATTAGTTTTAAAATGGCAAAATCACAGTGCTTTCTGCTATCATGTAATGTGCCTGGGCCCTGCAACCTACATTTAGTAAGAAAAATAATTTTAGAAATGTAAAAAATGATGATAAAATCAAGCATTAATAATTTACTACTTTAGATCATTCATTATATTAGTTTCTTGCACAATCCAAATTATGCAGAATTGCTTGTTTAACCAAAGAAAATAGCATTTAAAATTTAAGAAGTTAATGAAGGGATGTATAAATAGTATTGTTTTTAATGTGATTCACGTTAGACCTGCAATATTTGATAAAGTTCATTGCTATGTAGAAATTAAGTTTCTAATTTGAACCATGATTGCTTTAAAATGTGTATATCAAGTTCTAACAGACTATCTGAGCAGAATGTAGTTCATGAAATCTCGAGATATAGACTTATCTAAACAAGTTGGGTGACTCAAGAAATATGAATTAGAATGGGTTCAGCAAGTAACACATGAGAACTTCACAGTTTAGAGCCAGGAGAATGACAGATTATTGGTAAATAAATTTTTTTAGAGATGTATTTATTTGAAAGGCAGAGCTACGGCGAGGAGACAGAGAGCTTCGATCTGCTGGTTCACTCCTCAAGTGGAGACAGTGGCCAGAGCTGAGCCAGTTCTAAGCCAGGAGCTTCTTTCAAGTCTTCCAAGTGGGTGGCAGGGGCCCAAGCACTTGGGCCAGGTGCATGTTCATGGAGCTGGGTTAGAAATGGAGCAGCTGGGTCATGATCCAGTGCCTATATGGGATATCAACATTGCAGAGAGTGGCTTAACCTATGATGTGGCACAATGCCAACCCTTATAGGTGAGTTTGATATACAAGTACACAAGGTCTGGAAAAGGAAACAAGCATCACAGTCTCATAGTTTTAATATGTAGCTATTACCCTTTGTCACCTTCTTTAATATGTATAGATCTGTAATATTGTTCCAATTGAGAAGGAGATAATTTGGCCTCAAAATGTAGGCTTAGGTTTGCTGCTAGAAGACTGATTTGTCACCATCCCTCTCCTATTTACTGCTTTGCAGAGGTACACCATACTTGTGGAATGAAACATATCCTGGCTATGGATTTTTTTTTCCCCATGGAATACTGATATTTTCCATTAAATCTGAAAGAAAAAATCCTTAACATCTAGGTCAATGAAATAAAATTTTTGTGTAGCTATGTAGCTAGTGATTAAAAATTACATCTCAAACCCAGAAGCTGCAGGACAATATTCTCTGGTGTACTCAATCCCTGTGGATTTGTGCTCAAGGTCAAATGAGTTTACTCAAGGAACTTTCATTGAAAGTAACACTTGATTCAAATTGGATAGCGTGCCTATTTACCCTTGAGTTAAGGAATTTAATTGGGTTGTTTCAGAGAATGTGCTCAAATATTTAGGGGGACCCAAAATCTGATTCAAACTAAGGGTCTGCCAATTTCCTGTTCCTGATTTCTCAGTTTCTTATTTGTAAAATGAGGATTTTTTTAATAATTTTTTTTAAAAAATGAGGATTTTTAATTCTTACGTCACAGGGATTATTTGTATTTCTGTGTGTTCAACGGAATGCTTTCTATTAAGTACCCCTACCTTTTCTACATTATCTGACCTAAGATGTTCTCCAAAGTCATTCCTATTACTTATATAGGGTTCAAAGACTTTTGGGGCAGGGAGTTTAACTTCATTGCCTTTTTTTTTTTTTTTTTTTACAAATGCAACACTTGAGTTGCCCTGCTTATTTTTCCTTTAATCTAGTATATTGTCTACTTTGCTGCCAAGCTGATAATTCAAAAACACAAGTTGCATGGTACCCTTCTCCTGTCTCTGATCTCTCTGGGACTTCCCATTATTTTAAGAGCAAAGTTCTTTGCCATGCTGCTGATACCCTCCTTGTTTCTCTAGGGTTGTTTGCCCAGGTCCAGCCATGTTGATCTTTGTTTCTGTCTCTCAAAAAGCACCGATATCTTTCTAGCTTCCTTTGCGTGAGCCCTTAGGTTGGAAGGCCTTTGATCTCACATTACATTCTCTGCTTAAAGACAAAACACACTCATCACTTAGGGAGGCCAGAATGTCTAACAGGAGTCGCAAATGTTGATCATAGTTCAACATTTATTTTTTAAGATGTTCCTAAAAGTATTGTCCAAAATAAGATTTTATATATATGCTCAGGAAAATGGATACTAAAAATATGTCCGGAAATGTTTTGTTTCTTCCTGAATAAGCTTCAATTTTTAAAATGTGTTTCATAAGATACATTCACTTGTGCTTTTTTGTTGAAAATTCTGGACCTAACAGCTGAGAAAATACTAACTTGTGCTAGAGGGCTGGTCTGGTAGCTTGGTACTTTTCTCTTTAATGTTAGCATTCAGCTAGTAAAAAAAAAAATTCTTTTGGTCAATTGTCACTGAAAACTTTAGACTGAAGGTTTATATAAGAGCAGAAGCCAAATATGGTAAAACGCCTAGAGGATGCTGAATAGAAAAGTGGTTGGGAATCTATGTGAAGAACAGGGGCGGGAACTGGGGATGTGAAATTCTTAGGGTACACCATGGCCATTTATTTCTGGACTATAACATGTACGAGGGAGCAGTGCTCTGTATAATTCAGTAGAGCAAACATCAAATCAATAATGAAGGCCAATGAGAAGTCAAATCCCACTTAATAAAAAGAACTTTAGAGAAGAAACCAATACAAATACAGAATTGTTGTCTCAGGAAATGGTGGGGGACTTAAGCTGATGAAGAAGTGACTGGGGATACTCGTTACAGAATTGGGCATTTTACAGTAGATTTGTTCCCTATTAGATAGGCACCGTGGCCCATCACATTGGTGGATAAGATGACCTAAGAACTCAAGAAACAGGATGAATAGAATTAAATCTGTCACATTTTTTTTCTCAAGGATAATGAGGAAATCTGTGTGCAGGTTATGACACCCGTGTCAGATCCATGGTAGTGAGAGTTGCCCAGCTGGCTTCAGAAAAGGTGGGCTGGGTTACCTGCAGCAGCTCTGCATTCCTAGGGGTTGTTGAGAATTGGGATCCTGCTACCCGAAGTCCTTTTTCTTTGTTCATGCAGCTCCGAGGTTCTCCCCTAAGAAAATGTCAAACAAGTATTTCAAGTGTATCACTTTGGAAAGGTACTGAACTATTGCCATCTTAGATCCTTGTGTGTCATGGCTGGCTTGATCATTGTTCAGAGTTAACGCAATTTATGGCAGACAATGGGACTTCTGATTCCAAATGTGAGCTTCATTACCCTGTTCATTCTTATATTTTAACCCTGACTTTTTCTTTTAAGAATTTATTAGTACATTCAATCCTCAGGGTCAAAGCAAATGTAAAATTGCTCAACACGCTCTCATCAGTTCTCATCTTAATCTGGTATTAATACAAAGAATAGATTCCATGCAGTTCATAATACAGTTCCAACAATATTGTGATTCTGCCTGCCTTTTTTTTTTTATTTCTTTCTGAATTTTTGGGACCACTGTTAGTTCCATGAGTTTTATTTCTAAACTGTTGATAATAAATCAAGAAGTGAATTCTGCTAAATTTTGTTTGCATGTTCATCTTTTAAATTTACTTTTTACTAAAACCCTAAGTAGGTAAAATAAAAGCTCTAGGAACCTCTCATTTCCACCTCTAGAGGAAGAAAAACAAGAGATATTTGAAACTCCCTCTTTGTAAAGCATAATTTGTACATTTCTTTCAAATGCTCTAGACTTGATGATAAATGTGACAGAATTCCATGGTAAAAATGAGCTTGTTTCCCAGTTCCCACTACTTAAAATTAGAATAAATATTCTTATGTTAAATGTTCTTATATACACTACATCTGGGAGGGAACTTTGGGTAGTGATAGTCATGTAGCCCAGTCCTTGAACTCATCTCATTGTGTTCTTTGGATGTAGAGATTTTTTGTATCTCAATAAAACTGGTTAAACTCTTCCCCGCACCCCAGTCATTTGAATGCATAGATGGCATGATTTTCTGGTTTGAGCCCCATCAAACAACCAAATCTGGTGGGCACAAAAGCTATTTGAATTTTTTTCTCTTAGAAAACTATGTTACACAAAAATTATAGTCTCTGTCACTGTTCATGTCAGTTACGAGTTGAATTTTACTGATCATGTTTTAGTAAAAGTAGCCAATCTGTCTATATATTATGTAATTGTAGACTGTATTCTTTTTTTTTAACTTTTGTAAATTGTACTTTTAATTTTTTTAAACAATGTACCTCATAGTCTTTGGAAACTCTTAAGTAAATGAAGATGGTAGCAACAATTTTCTGCTAAAATCTACACAAAATGTGTATATGGTATGTTTTCTTTCATCAGTGCCACCCTTTTTTTTTTGGATTTATTTTTATTGGAAAGGCAGATCAGATATATCAAGAGAAGGAAAGACAGAGAG